CAGCGGGGCTCGGAGCTCCGAGGGGATTTCTCTCCGGGCAGTGCCAGCGGGGCTCGGAGCTCCGAGGGGATTTCTCTCTGAGCAGTGCCAGCGGGGCTCGGAGCTCCGAGGGGATTTCTCTCTCCGGGCAGTGCCAGCGGGGCTCGGAGCTCCGAGGGGATTTCTCTCTGGGCAGTGCCAGCGGGGCTCGGAGCTCCGAGGGGATTTCTCTGGGCAGTGCCAGCGGGGCTCGGAGCTCCGAGGGGATTTCTCTCCCCGGGCAGTGCCAGCGGGGCTCGGAGCTCCGAGATTTCTCTCCGGGCAGCGCCAGCGGGGCTCGGAGCTCCGAGGGGATTTCTCTCTTTGAGCAGTGCCAGCGGGGCTCGGAGCTCCGAGGATTTGTCTCCGGGCAGTGCCAGCGGGGCTCGGAGCTCCGAGGATTTGTCTCCGGGCAGGGCCAGCGGGGCTCGGAGCTCCGAGGGGATTTCTCTGTGGGTAGTGCCAGCGGGGCTCGGAGCTCCGAGATTTCTCTCTGGGCAGTGCCAGCGGGGCTCGGAGCTCCGAGGGGATTTCTGTCCCCGGGGCTGTCACTGTCGCTTCTCCCGCACCCCGCGGTGCCCCAGGGATGTCACCAGCGGCACCGGCACCCCCCAGACCGGCAGCAAAACCTCAAATTCTCCCTTTTCTCCYGCAGCATCCGTTCCCTGCCCTTCCCCAGCCATGGTGTGCCCCAGCTCGGAGCTCCGCGCTCAGAGCCAGGAGCGGAGCGGCGCGGAGCAGCGGAGCGCGGAGGAACCGGCGCTGCTGTGGCTGGCGGAGCTCACCGGTGCTCACATCGGGCTGCCCCCGCTGCCGCAGGACCCCGAGGATCGCTGCAGCATCTGGGAGAACCTGGTCAGCCTGGTGGATTTCCAATGCCCGGGATTTCCCCTGAGCGCCGAGGAGCTCTGCGACTTCATCCACGTTCCGCGCTCCTCCTCATCCTCCTCCTCCTCTCGGAGCTGCTCCGCGGCCGCGCTCCGAGTCGGAGCTCAGCCCCCTCCCCTCCCCGGGGACATCGATTACCGCAACAACGCCAACCTAAAGCCGCCCTACTCGTACGCCACCCTGATCTGCATGGCCATGGAGGCCAGCGGCAAAGCCAAAATCACCCTGGCSACCATCTGCAAATGGATCAGCGACAATTTCGGCTACTTCCGCAGGGCCGACCCCACCTGGCAGGTCAGGAGGGGATTTGGGGTCTTTTTTAGGGTGGGGATGGGATTTTCACAGCGCACTCGGCAGGTCAGGAGGGGCTTTGGGGTTCTTTTAGGGTGGGGTGGTGGTTCCAGAGCGCAGGTGAGGAGGGGATTTTGAGATGTTTTAGGGTGGGGATTCCAGAGCGCACCCGGCAGGTGAGGAGGGGTTTTGGGGTTCTTTTAGGGTGGGGTGGGGGTTCCAGAGCGCACCCGGCAGGTGAGGAATGGATTTGGACCCTTTTTTGGGGTGGGAAGGGGATTCCAGAGCGCACCCGGCAGGTCAGGAGGGGATTCGGAGATGTTTTAGGGTGGGGATGGGATTTTCACAGCGCAGGTGAGGAATGGATTTGGACCCTTTTTTGTGTGGGGCAGGGATTCCACAGCGCACCCGGCAGGTGAGGAGGGGATTTGGGGTTCTTTTAGGGTGGGGTGGGGATTCCAGAGCGCACCTGGCAGGTAACAAAGGAATTCGGAGATGTTTTTGGGTGGGGTGAGCATTCCAGAGCGCAGGGGAGGAGGGGGTTTGGGGTCTTTTTTAGGGTGAGGAGGGGGTTTCAGAGCGCACCCGACAGGTGAGGAGGGGGTTCAGAGATGTTTTAGGGTGGGACAAGGATTTCCAGCGCACCCGGCAGGTCAGGAGGGGGTCTGGGGTTCTTTTAGGGTGGGGTGGGGGTTCCAGAGTGCACCCGGCAGGTGAGGAGGGGATTTAGAGATGTTTTAGGACAGGGATTTCCAGCGCACCTGGCAGGTCAGGAATGGATTTGGACCCTTTTTTGGGGTGGGGTGGAGATTCCAGAGCGCACCTGACAGGTGAGGAGAGGATTCGGAGATGTTTTAGGCTGTGGAACCGGGTAGGAATAAATAGAGATGGACACACAGAGAGCTTGCAAAAAAAAACAGGCTAAGCCGTCTTTATTATTCGGGGCAGGTTATTTTATTTATATATTTATATATTTATTTATATATTTATTTTTTATATTTATTTATATATTTATTTATATATTTATTTATATTCATTATTTATATTGTTTATGTTATTTTTATGTTAGATATGTAATATTTATATATTATTGATGTAATATTTATATACAATAAATAGAATAAAATATATCATATTTAATAATATATTATATATAGTAATATATAATGATATGTAATAATAGATAAGAATAGATAAGAATATATAGAAGAATATATATAAGATATATAACAATATCAAAGTAACTAGTAAAATAATAAATATATAATACTTTTTTATTCTTTTAATTTAATTTTTTTTTTATTTTTTTTTTTTTTTTTTTTTTTTTTTTTTTTTTTTTTTTTTTTTTTTTTTTTTTTTTTTTTTTTTTTTTAATCCAGAGCTCCATCCGCCACAACCTCTGCATCAACAAATGCTTCGTCAAAGTCCCCCGCCAGAAAGGCGAACCGGGCCGGGGCGCTTTCTGGAAACTCCACCCGCGCTACTCCGAGCTGCTCAAAACCACCCCGCTCCAAACGCGCCGAGCTCCGGCGGAGCTCCCCCAAAAAWCCCCTCCGTCCCCCAAAAACGAACCGCGGAGCCCCGGCCGCAAAATCCAGCTGAGCACGGAGCTGGAGCGGCTGCTGCAGGAATTCGAGGAGTTCGGGAAGAGCCACAAGAGGAGCCGGGAGGATGAGGAGGATGAGGAGGATGAGGAGGATGAGGAGCGGCAGCGGCTCCGCGCGAAGCAGCTCCGAGGTTGCGGCTCCGCGGGCGCGGGGGAAGCTCCGAGCGAGCTGACGGAGCTCAAAGGTGACACGGACTGGGAAGCGCTGCTGAGCTGCCTCCCGGACGAGACGCTGATGGCCACGGCGTTCCTGGAGGCGGGATGGAGCGAGGAGAGCCGGGAGAGCGGCCCGGGATGCGGGGACATCGAGAGAGGGGACGGTGACATCGCCGGAGCGGGACATGGGACATGGGGACATGGGGACATCGAGAGAGGGGACGGTGACATCGCCGGAGCGGGACATGGGACATGGGGACACGGGGACATCGAGAGAGGGGACGGTGACATCACCGGAACGGGCGGTGCCGTGGGGTGGGACACGGGGACACCGCTCAGGTGAGCGGCGACATCGCGGGAGCGGGAAAAGGGACATGGGGACACCGCTCGGATGAGCGGCGGTTAAAGAAGGTACCGGGACATGGGACATAGGGACACGGGGACACCGCTCAGATGAGCGGCGGTTAAAGAGGGGACCGGGAAAAGGGACACGGGGACATCGCTCAGATGAGCAGCGACATTGCGGGACCGGGGAAAGGGACACGGGGACATCGCTCAGGTGAGCGGCGACATCCCGGGAGCGGGACATGGGGACACGGGGACATCGAGAGAGGGGACGGTGACATCACCGGAGCGGGACATGGGACATGGGGACACGGGGACATCGAGCGGGGGGACGGTGACATCACCGGAACGGGACATGGGACATGGGGACACGGGGACATCGAGAGAGGGGACGGTGACATCGCCGGAGCGGGCGGTGCCGTGGGGTGGGACACGGGGACACCGCTCAGATGAGCAGCGACATTGCGGGACCGGGGAAAGGGACACGGGGACATCGCTCAGGTGAGCAGCGACATTGCGGGACCGGGGAAAGGGACACGGGGACATCGCTCAGGTGAGCGGCGACATCCCGGGAGCGGGACATGGGACATGGGGACATCGAGCGGGGGGACGGTGACATCCCCGGAGCGGGGAAAGGGACACGGGGACAGCGCTAGATGAGCGGCGGTTAAAGAAGGGACCGGGGAAAGGGACACGGGGACACGGGGACATGGGGACACGGGGACACCGCTCAGGTGAGCGGCGGTTAAAGAGAGACCGGGGAAAGGGAGATTGGAGGGGATGGGAGGAAATTAAAAATGATAGGGGAGATTAAAAATGATATGGGAGATTAAAAATGATAGATGGGATGAAATTAAAAATGATAGG